CTAGGGGGGGATTTTATAGGGATTTTAAAGGGATTTTATAATATTAAACTTAATACAGGTTATTTAATATATATTTTAATTTGGCTTTTAGAGATATCTATTGTATTGTACTGTTTTTATTTACCTGTAAGCCGCCCTGAGTCCCTCGGGAGAAGGGCGGGGTATAAATGGGATTAAATAAATAAATAAAATAAATAAACAATGACTCAGAAGCATGCACACACATACAACATAAAGAAAAGTTGAGAAGACAACAAACTCTTTGGATGATAGGAATTTACAGAACTCTATTTTGAGATTTGGTGTAGCAGCTAGGAGTTCAAGAAGGCAAGCTAAGACATTAACAAAATCAGTTTATTCAAGCATAAGATACAGGACAATTTTATCCTTTTGTCAACCATTTTTCCATCTATTTTTTTAAAAAAAAATCCAAATATTTTTTTTATTTCTACATGGCCCTCCTCCAAGTAAGGAATGTAAAACTGCAATCCCCAAATACAATGGCCAATTTTGATTTTTAAATCTTAGAAGTATGAAAAGTTGAATAAGGATTCAAAGTTATAAAAATAACTTTCACATGAAACTTACTGAGTTCCTTCATTCCTCCCTCCCTCCCTCTTCACCCTTTATTTCTTCTTTCCTTTTTCTTTCCTTTTTAACATATATATTATTATACTATTTTATTCCATGTTGTATGCTGTCCACAATCCATTGGGACTAGAAAACCTAAAATATTTTGTTAGCTAACTAACAAAAGAAAGGACTACCCAAGCCTACATCTAAAACAGACGTGTCAAACTCGCGACGTCACGTGACGTTGTGCGATGTATCGGAACTTTTCCCCCATTGCTGGCAATGGGATGGGCACGGTTTCCTTGTGACATGTCCAGCCCACGGGTCAGCAGTTTGACACTTCTGATCTAAAATGACAGAAATGAATGGAATCAAGTTTTTAATTATTATGATATTCCATGAAAGCACTTTTAAAATATTTCATCCTCATAGATGATATTCACTAAAGAAAACATTCAGTGATGTAATCAGAATTCTTGAATAATTTGAAATACTCTGAGAAAATACATTTTAAAATTAAAAGTATACACAGCCTATGACAAGAAAACAAGGTTCACAAATGTGCTATATTGTTTTATAACAGGTTATAAACCACTTTTATGGAAACATTGTTTTCATTGTAGAAGAAAATAACACAATTTTCCAAATGAACTAGAAAGGGGAAGGGAATTCATGAAGTTGGTAACAAACCCAAGATTCATCAGATCCAATCATAGTCTCATAAATACCTTATGTAAGGAAATAAACATGAGAGCATACATTAAGATATTTCAGAATGATTATATTTCAGAAGAGAAGCATTTTCTTTTGTCTATGTGCAATAGCACCTAGATTTATATTACACCCCATATTACTTTATAAAACTGTCTGGGTAGTTTACAATATTAATATATTGCCCCAAACAATCTGAATCCTCATTTTATTAGCCCTGGAAAGATGGAAGGCTAAGTCAACCTTGAGCCCCATCAGGTTCAAACTCTAGGCTGTGGGCAGAGTTTGACTGAAATACTTCATTCTAACCACTATATATATCAGTATAAAGAGTTTACAAATACTCTATGGTTTTACAATATATTATGAACCACCTACATAGACAAAACTATTTCTATTGTTGAAGAAACAGAAGTAATGTGCAAATTAAGTAGAAAGAGGATGGAAATTCAGAGAATCATATAACTGACCAATTGGAAGAAAACTCAACCATCATTTACCCCAAACCTAGTCTCACAAATATTTTATGTGCATAAATAATGTGAAAGTATATCCTGAGACATTTCAGAACTCTTTATTTGCAGAAGATGCATACTTCTTTTGTCAAACATTTTCTTATCTATTTTTTTAAAATATTTATAGTTCCTATATGGACCTCCCCCAAGTACGGAATGTAAAACTGAAATCCCCTTCTACTATCACATGGTTCCAGATGAAGAATTCCATTTCAGGGGAATTCTTCAGCTACTTTTGCACTTCAGGTGGACCTGGGTTGGGATACTTGTGAAAGGATATGGTGGAGCAAAATTTGAACAACTGATTTTTTCATGGTTTACTCTCCATGGTATCTGTATTGCCTTCTTAGAGCAACTCAGGACAATTCATATGAACAGTGTGGATGATGGCCTGAAACTGCTTGTGAATACATTTCATCTTTATAGTAACAGCAAAGCTAACATTGTGATAATCAAAGATAAATATGTTTTAGAATTAAGATGGTTGTTATATCTACCTGAAATGGAAATAGTTTCTATAAAGTCAAAAGGTAAGGTGTGGATTATTGCTTCACAAATGGGTCTTGCATCATTCTTTTATCAGAAAAGCTGGGATATCCAAGTCCTACATGGTGCACTGTCCTTTGCAGCTTCTTCAAATGAAGTTGAAGGATTCCAGCATTTTCTTCAGACAAGAATGCATTTTTCATTCTTTCCCCAAGATGGTTTCATAAAAGATGTGTGGGAGCATGCATTTGGCTGTGTATTTCCAGACCAATCTGTAAATGAGGATCCTGAGGGTGTCTGTACTGGGAAAGAGAAATTGGACAGCCTTCCTGGGACATTTTTTGAAATGAAGATGACCACTCACAGTTACAGTATATACAATGCAGTGTACACTGTGGTACATGCATTACATGCCATACAGGTGGATCAACAACCATATACAAGAAGGTTGAGTGGCAGGAATCCTAATCTTCAGGATCTACAGCCATGGCAGGTAATTTTTTCAGGAGTCAAATATGATGGAAATCAGACTTCAATTATAGATCAGAAGGGACAGTATTCTGCAAATAGAAAGTTAGGTATTTCGCTTGTGTTTTGCCTTTATCCTTTATTCTTGTGAGATTCTCAAGGTGCTCCCTTCCTACCTTAGCCTTCCAAACTCATTTGTTATCTTTTCCTGATAGGATGCAGCTAACTTGAGGTTTAGCTTTTGTCTGAGCCTCCCCTTCTTATGATGAGCAAAGTTGGCAAAGAAAGTCTTATCAGTGGATATGGACAGGCATCTATAGGACCTTAGTACAGGCTCAGAGTTAAATAGAAGAGATTACCAGAAATCTTATTACCAGAAAAGAGTCAAGACTTTCCTTTGATTTTTTTTATAGAGACCAATTGTCCAGTGTTGCTCCTCTACAATCAGATACATTATAAACTACACTTTATTCTAAAGGTTACTCCACACCACTCCACTCCACTGTACTTCACTCTCTTGCTTGGTTTCTAATAACACTCTGGTACCCCACCTTCCTCCATACAAAGGGACACACAATTATAACCATCCCAATCATGGGAAGCTATCACTTCTGCAAAGTTACCTTCCTAGGCCCTGGCTTGAAGGGAAACTGCTTCACATCCAAGTGGCCAGCATAAAGTCCCCTTCTAAGCTAGAAATTTGGTTTGCATCTGCAAGAGTTTCCTGTTTTATTGACTTTCTCACCCACCTCTCAAAGAGGATTGCTGATAAAATCCTATTTAATGAATTCAATTCCTTTCCAATTGGAGAACTGAAGAGTAAAAAGCAATCTGGGGTCTTAGTCTCCACTATTCTACATGCCGCAATGGGGCCTCTCACCCAATCCCAGTCATATGCTATGGCAAAGATAATCCAATTTACTCAGCATTTGCTATTGATAATAAATACTTTTATGCCCCCAATGAGGAAGAAACCCCAGATCAAATGCTTGTGGACTGAACTGGAAACTTATGCTGCTGTCCTTACACTATTGAATTCCAATGTATTTATAGTCCTAGAAGTGGACTTCAATGCTAGATTGAGCTCTAATGACCACACCCTCTATATACAATACAGCTGTCCCTTTCCCAACTGTGAGGCTTAAGGATTCTACCTCATCCATTGTTCAAAAAAAATAATCAGAAAACAAACTTTGCAGCCTTTGTTGTTCAAGTAACCTTCAGGCCAAGTCTCCACATTTTGTAAATGGTGTCCTTGAAAGTGACTATGCCAGCTATGTATCTGGCTCCCAAATGAGTGCTATGGACAATACAATAGTCTCTCATGACTTATTCTCTTAGGACAAGATCAAGGACTGCTACAAATACTTTTTTATTGCCAGCAAGAAGAAATATATGCCCATCTGAATCAAATGATAATTGAGCAATGTTATATCTCCTTCAGTCAGCCCTGACATTTGCCATGTCTTCTGATGCACTTTTGGAGATTTATGACATTGTTACCCACTAGCATATAAGCCATAATAATAGTGCATCCCTATTAGAGGCAACAATAGCACTTATCCAAATTACAGTTTGACAAGGCCTTTGTAACAGCAAAAAGTCCTTGCTACCACTTACCAGTCTTAAGTATCCAATACTACTACTGCACTGGGCCTCCTCCATCAGAAAAGAGAGTATCAGCAATTGCTGGCAAGCAAGAAAAGGGAAGCCATGAAAAACTCTTTCAGGCAGCCAGATCCAAGAAAAACCAAAAGCAAATACAAAAGCAAATAACTTTACAAAGAAAGAAAAGAAAGACCAATAAAATAGGGAAATAATCTGACATGTTCACTAATCTTAGTGTCTCTCAGGCCCAGACTTTGTCTAAGCCCAACTCATTATATCACAGGCAGCTCAGTACTTTTTTTTCTTTCAGGGTTGCCTTATTTGCAAAATGTCAGACGACTATTAGACAGCTTTTCTGTATCTCTGTATCTCTCTATTGCCAACAAGTGATTGGCTAGACATCCATTATAGCTGCAATAATTGTATATTTTATATTATTTCTATATGTTTTGTATCTGAATCTTCTCTGATCTACATATACCTAATAATAGCTGAGCAGAATATTTGTTTTTGTTTCTTACCAAAAATGGTGCAACCTATATCATATTTATGCATAAAAATAAAACTCACCCCCCCAAAATATGTATTTTTCAGAATTAAAATTAGATGTGTGGAATATTTTAAGATTAAGTGGGCCTGGATTTCTTTTATATTATAATAATAATAATAATAATAATAATAATAATAATAATAATAATAATAATAATAATAATAATAATAATAATAATAATAACAATAATAATAACAACAACAACAACAACAACAACAACAACAATGGTATAATAATTTTTGATCAATGGTGACATATAAGCAAATGTACCTGGACAATCACTGAACATTAAGAAGTATTCCTCTCATGTGTAAACTGTTTTGAGCTATCACATAATTCTACTGTATATCTTAACCAGGTTCTCTCTCTCTCTTTCTCTCTCTTCTTTTCTTTTTACAAATATATTCAATTGTTTCTAAATTCAGCTTCACTTCTTTTTGAAAAGAATTGCATTTAACAATAGTGTTGGGGATGAAATTTATTTTGATGAGAAAGGAGAACTGGTTACAGGACTGGATATTGAGAACTGGGTCACATTCCCCAACCAGTCTTTCCATCGAGTGAAAGTTGGGAAGCTGGATCCCTGGGCTGTTGAAGATCAAATGTTCACCATTTATGAAGAAGCCATCACTTGGCCAAGCACTTTCAATCAAGTAAGTTCTCAATGTAGATGGTTTTGTTTGGATGACTGGGATGATACAGGTAATCTTTTCATACTAACCATAATTGGGACCAACAATAATATGAAGAGACAAATTCATAAAATAAAACATCACACGACGGCACTAACTTACAGCATCAGTTTCAGATACAATCATTAGCAAATAACTCATGGTCATTAAACAGGATGTTGCATGACTGCAACATGAAATTTCCTGCCAGCTTCCCTACTGACTTTGCTCGTCAGAAGCTGGCTATGAAATCATAAATGTGACTATTTGAATGCAGGGACATTGTGGAAGCTGCAACTTTGAAGACTAGTCATAAATCTCTCTTTTCAGTACCATTGTAGCTTTGAACTATCACTGAACAAGAGGTCTGAAAGTAAGGACTATCTGCATCTAAATGACAGCTCTATGCCATTTAATATAGAAAGAAGATTAAAGACTTATTATTTCAGTTAATGTTATATCTGTCTGCAATTAGAAAGAATTATAAGCAGTATAAGAAGTTTTGAAAAGCAGCATTATCTAATACATTACAAAAATCTTATTGAGTTTCCATAGATATATTGCCATAAAAGTCATTAGAGATTAGAGAAAGTAATGCAGTGTTTACTAATCTTGCTTTTTGGCTCATAATCCCTTTTTGAGCCCAATTTACTGGTAAATTATTTCTAGTTGATAATTATTTATTATAAACAGTAGTGATGTTTAATATTTATGGTGCTGAAATTAGCACAGAGAATGACAAATTGATTGTGCACCTGACTGTCCATTTCAGGATCATATTCTTCATACCCTAGAGCAGGGGTCTCCAAACTTGGCAAATTTTTCCTTAGCATGGCTGAGGAATTCTAGGAATTGAAGTCCACAAGTCTTAAATTCAGGAAAGACCTCTGCAGTCGAGAACAGAGCCTCAGGTTCACACATGCATCGCCCCCGGCCTCCGTTCTCGGTTGCAGAGCCCTTTCCTGAAGGCCTCAGCCAGCAAAACGGAGGCTGGCGGCAATATGCATGAACTGCGGTGAGCAGCCACAGAAGAAGTGGGCTGGCAGCAGCCACATGGACTCCTGCTGGACAGGCTGTTAGGACTGCACCGTGAGGTGAGACAGTGGAAAAAATTAGACATCCTCTGAAAATAAGATTTAATGCCTCTTTTGGAAGCAAAAAAAATATAAGACTGGATCTTATTTTCAGGGAAACATGGTACCAGAATAATCAAATAATCAAATATGTGAAGAGTTTTGCAGCTCTGATTAACTGCAACAAATTTGGGATTTGTTATGAGTTATGAATTTACTTTAGGGATTGGATTCTATTTAAATCAGATCACCCACTCTAAGTTTAATACATGTCTCCAAAATATATCTTTGCACTCAACCCTGTATGTATAAATTCAGAAGTAAAATATGTGTTTGTAAAAAGTTGCAGAATAATTTATTATTTACTACACAGAATAAACTTCAGTCATATTCAACATACTACTGTATGTATATACAGTTACACCTCCCATTATACAATGATTATTGACATGGGCTATATGACCATGAATGGAGCCAATTCAAATTTCTTGGACAGAGGTCTCCCAACTTGGCAACTTTAAGACTTCAGGATTTCAGCTCTCAGAATTCCTCCACCAGCCTTCATACCTTAGAGAAGGGATTTCCAAGCTTGGCAAATTTAAGACTTATTGACTTCAACTCCTAGAATTCCTCAGGCAGGCTGAGGAAAAATTTGCCAAGTTTGGAAACCTCTGCCCCAGGGTATGCAGAGTAGGAAAGGCTCTAATGGTGAAATGGAGGCCAGGGAGTGATGCATGCATCAACCCGGGGCTCTGTTCTCAGCTGCAAAGGCCTTCAGGAAAGGCTTCTGCTGTGAAATGGAGGACAGGTGGTCACATGCATGTCAATCTGGGGCCTCTGTTCTT